TAAGTGTTACACGGACCCAAAATAATAGCTACATTCTCTTTTGGACTTGTACATAATAAAAGTTAACATTTGTATCTAAGTATGTCCTGATAATGGCATATACATGAAACAGTGTTTTTGTTGTAAATGGAATATTCTTTTATCACATGGAAGGCTGATACAATTCATAAAAAAGCACTTTTCTGAATTTTTGAAGGACATTTTAAACCTAAAAATTTGTAATCAATGGATGTATTAAAGTCCTCGAACTATTGACCGAAAGGAAAGGAAACAACAAATTCATTTTAGGGAAAAATTATACAGTTACACTGACAGGAATCTGACCCCATCTAGGTTTGTAGGCTGATTCAGTTTAACGTAGATGACCTTAAGTGACAGGTCTTAAAGAGCACCAAGACCAACTTTTTTCCAATTCCTTAACAGAAATCAAGTGATGAAAACTGCTCACATACAAAATGCAGGAGATATGAAAAATAAAAAGTGCGGGATGTGATGTACTGCATCATGACACACCTTACACAACCTTAGGAAAACAAATAGTACTTTTGTTGCAGTTCTTCATCTCAATGTCACAGTGACAAATATTCCGCCCTGAAGCTTAAGATCACGAGAAAACAACCATCACATAACTACTGTGATATATTTTACTACCTGTACATATTAAAAAGTCTGAAAAGAAATACAAATTGAGAAAAAAATTGTTATTTCAATTCAAATGCAATTTACTATGTCTAAGAAAAAAAATAACAAGTGTCAATACTTATAAAGCAACTATAAAACAAATAGTTGAGTATGTAAATGTACAAAGAAAGACATAAAAAGGTCATCTTTACTAACAACAATCTCTTGTAAATGGTGACCTATATTTGTTGTTTGGCTTGAACAAAGTCCATCTCAGGCTTGTTGGGTTGACGCTCACTGACATATTATTTTATTTACTGTGAATTCAGAAAGTTTTATATAAATGGAAATAATGCGACTGGGTTATTATCACAATAATAAGAACCCACATTCTAGTATCTAATACATGGATCTGTATTCATTTTTTTTAATCACAATTATTAAAATCGCATTTTTTGTCCATTCTTCAAAATTTTTACAATAATAAATGCCATATACATGTATAAATTTCTGAATTTACAATATAAAAATAAGTCTTTTGTAGACAAAACTCGTGTCTGGCGCAAATACAAAATTTCAATCCTGGTATCTATGATGAGTTTATTTACAACCACTGGGTCGATGACACTGCTGGTGGAGTTTTTATTCCCCGAGGGTATCACCATCCCAGTAGTCAGCACTTCTGTGTTGACATGAATTATCATTGATATGGTCATAGTTATAAATTAATTGTTTACAAAACTTTACATTTTTGAAATACTAAGGCTTTTCTACCTCAGGAATAGATTGGCTTAGTTGTATTTGGCAAAACTTTTAGGAATTTTTGGTCCTCAATGCTTTTTAACTTCGTACTTTATTTGGCCTCTTTAACTTTTTTTTATTCGAGCGTCACTAATGAGTGTTTTGTAGACGAAACGCGGGTCCGGCGCAAATACAAAATTTCAATATTGGTATCTACGATGAGTTTATATACAAGACAGCTGTGGTGTTCCATACACGAGGGAAAGGATACTTTTTTCCCAATATTTTTTTTTTCAGTTTTGACACTGGCATTTTCCAACGTTAGTGTATAAGTATACTGTTTTGCCTCGTTCAGTCATAGCCCTTCAAATTATCAGGATTTTTTTTTCCCAGTTTAAAATTGGCCTGAAAATAGGTAGTGAAATCCGATTGATAAGTATCTTGGTTTTTATTTACCCGTCGACTGTATACATTCAAAATATTGGTATTGGAAATAGACTAAGAGTAAAAACTTAATAAATATAAATGGTATTAAACTTAAAGCTTTCTATGCGTTCTGGATTACATTTATCATACAAGAAGATGCCCGCGAAATCGCGGTACAATTGGGCAAGTGTTGAAACAAAGAGTGTCAAGGGTGCCTGTGTTTACACATAAAAAGGGGGAGGTTCCAGACGTCGGGTGCCTGTGTTTACACATAAAAAGGGGGGATGATATTTACTTAATATGAACACCGACCATTGTTAAATATATCTGCTTCTGAATCTATCAAATAATTAAACATTCAAATGATTAAAGATTTACATGCATAGAAATGCTTAAAGTTGTTTTTAAATATATGCATATGAACAATATTGTTAAATTGCTAAATTGCTAAATTGCTAAATGACGTAATGTGACCCTTTTCCATGCAGTATATATTTAAAAAAAAACCCAAATAAGTCGAAATAATAATACTAATGATCATAAACTCATTATAGATACCAGGATTGAAATTGTGTACGCCAGACACACGTTTCGTCTACAAAAGAGTGGCGCTCGAATAAAAAAAAAATGAAAGGCCAATAAAGTACGAAGTTGAAGCGCATTGAGGACCCAATATTTCTAAAAGTTTTGACAAATACAGGCAAGGTAATCTATTCCTGGGGTATAAAATCCTTAGCCTTTCGAAAAATTCGAAGTTTTGTAAATAGTTAATTTATAATTATGACCATATCAATGATAATTCATGTCAACACAGAAGTGCTGGCTACTGGGCTGGTGCTGGTGATACTCTCGGGGAGAGAAACTCCACCTGCAGTGGTATCGATCCAGTGGTTGTAAATAAACTCATCATAGATACCAAAATGGAATGTTGGAGAAGAAGAAGGACATTCAAACTCATAAGTCGAAAATAAACAGACAACGCCATGGCTAAAAAAATAATAAGTCAAACAGACAAAGAACAGTACACAAAACAGCATAGAAAACTAAAGATTGAGCAACATGAACCCCACCAAAGAAGCTTGCATATTTCTTTTTACAAAGAATAAATACCACATCATGGTTACAAGTGTTGGTGGGTTGCTGTTTCATTGATGTATATCCCTACATCTATTAGGCATATAGAACATTTAAATATAGTTCCTATGTATAATTATGCAAAACTTAGAATCGTTTTATTTGTTGATAGGTAAACAATTTTATAGCAACATTGTTCATGCCTTTGTAACTACAGATGAACATTATTTCATCATATTTTTTTTCGTTCGACTAATTTACTCATTTTCAAATTTAACACCATTAACACGGATAAATAAGAGAACAATAAAAATCCAACGAGGATGCACCGTACGAAAAAGAATTAAATTTTAATATAATAGAAAAATACCTGGAAAATTACAATGATAAATCCAATCGGTCTTTCCATTTTAGAGACGGGTCAAACAGAACAAACCTTTATCTTACAACTATTCTTACATAAACTCGAAGTAAAGTATCATTCGCGAGTACAGATAACCGAATAAAGTCTTCATTGTACATGTACTATTTACAAATTGCACTACTAGGTACCACACTTAATTTTTGATTAAATACTAAGACAGATTTTTGCTGAGTCGACTCTATTTTGTTGTTGAACATATACAAGGAATGTCACCCATATCATTTATCTATCACAATATGATACCTAGTCATATAGAGATATAAATTCAGGCCGCAAATGGCTATGATTTTTCGAAAAGTAATTACTGTACCTTATTTAACTTCCCATACTAAAAACAAATTGCCAGTATTTTTTAAAAGCAGAGTTCGTAAGTCTTTGGACACACCTGAGAACTATCTTCTTTAATCTAATCTTAGATGGATAAATGTTAATTTTCAAAGCTGTAGATTGCAATTTCTCTTAAATTTATTACACACAATATCCATTTTCAAACAGTCTTTCTTATTTTCTTTACTTTGCTATATCACAGCTTCTAATGTGTTCCTTGAGATGTCGAAACAATGCTGTAGATTTTCTAAACATGTTACCACATTGTAAATGATTAAAGATGGCATAAAACTGCACCCTAAAAAGATGTTTTGCAATTTAATAATAATAAAAAAAATATAAACATAAGAAGTTTGTTCTTTTGGACCAATTCTCCAATTTAACTATTATCGTCTGTTTGATACAAATAGATTCATTCTGGTTAATGATGTCCTCAATATAAACATTTTACCAAAAACTTTTAAAATTTTCGTATTTTGTTTGTTTGTTTGTTTGTTTGTTTGTTTTTGTAAAAGAAAAAAAAAATAGGATACCATGTTGATCTCGTTTTATTTTGTAGAGTTCATTGGAAGGTACAACAATACAATCCAACCCGACAGTAGTTTGTATCGAGATAACATATAAGATATTTAAACAAATTCAAATACAGATTTGCTTTCTTTTTGGTAAAACTGTGATTGTTTATGAATTTGAATTTTACCAAACAATGCAACTTGTATTTTCTTTATATGTATTTTTCTTGTTTATTTTTCTGTGCTATGCGCAGCTGATTTCCTTCACATGTTAGCTAAATATCAGTACATATGTATAGGCTTCTCAGATTGATTATTGTGTCGTCCGAAATATAACTGTGTACGAGTTTACCTAATTGCTGCGTTTTGAACATTTATTCTCGAAGTAATTAAAGAATATCAAAATAACGAGTATCTCTTAATGTTTTAGTATATTTCGAGGCACTACTACAGAAAAAACAATACAGATAAAACGAAAAATAGAACGAATTCTAGAATTTATTCCATTTTCATTTTGTCATGTAAAAAAGCCGAGGCATAAACGAAAAACTATACTTGAAAGAGACATTTAATAAAAAAAATTGTGCATGTTTCATTGCTCTTTTTGAACTAAAAGTACTAAGATAGAATTGAAAGAATTTTATCGAAAAAGGTATTCATAAGTTTTCTGTGTTCCAACAGCTGATTGGAAAAGACAAGACGCACGACGTCATTGAAATGGCCGAGATTTTCAAAGCATAGGCGTACATGTAACATATTTACCATTGTGTTTATCATTGAAAAATACTAGGAATATTATATCATTTTGATTGAGTGAGACTATTGAAAGCAGTTACTACATATTTTCTGAAGCTTATTCCCGCAGCAAAAGCCATCATTTTTATTTTTCACGTTTAATACACTCAGAATACTTATAGTATTTGAATTTACATTCTGGCATTCATTGGTGTTGTCTAACTTGACGTTCTAGCTATCAGAAGCCGAGGCACAGTAAATACAATGCAATCATATATGGTCTTTATTTCATAAACCTTATACACGGATTTCGGAAGTTTATGTCAAAAATGACTCTGTAGAAAATGGTGTTGCTATGTATGACCTTTAAATAGCCATAAATCATAAGTTCCTTTGTTACACAAGTTTATGAATATTTTGATAGCCGGGTCAGTATGATATAGAGTCTTAGAAGCCTGTCGGAAGTATGAAGTGTAGTTCTGTACCATTGTCATAACTTTAACCTGCAAAATAAGGCAAATACTGTTAAGTATAAGCCGAAAAACCACATATATCTCATTTACCACTAGCATAGTTTAATGGATAGCCATTATATATTTTTGAAATTTGTAACTTTTAAATCATTTTTATACTTAATTTCTCTTATCTGTAAAGAAGATATACATATGAAATATGATACATGTAGGTGCTAAATTGTCTTTAGCAGTGTTACCATACATGTTGAAAAAAAAAAATCAATAATTAGAAAGTAATAATGGTTCAGCTTCATCTAAAGTGTGTTAAAACACGAAAATGTGAACATAACTGACGATAAAATATGTTGTAGAAGGAATTTTCTTTTCGGAGAATTACCGGCAAAAAACGTGTTCCCTCTTTCAAATTCACCATCTAAAATCAATATCATAGTTTTGACCGCCATTTGTTTTAATATAAGATTGACTAAGTTTATTTTGTCTTAAATAATTGACAGATGTTATGGCAAGCTAAATAGAGCATGCACTAATTGCTTCTAATATTCGTTAGTTCTTTGTGTGAAATTAGGTTTCACTGATCTAAAACAGATGACAAACTTTCAATGGTATAATTAAACGCAGAGTATAATGGTTAAAATACTGCACAATTGTGACTCTGTCATTTTTTGTTATTCAATTGTAGAAAAACTAAATATTGAATAATAATTGATAAAATTAAATGTTAGAATATCGTCGAATCACTGATGCTTAATGTTATGGATATCTTACATCTAAATTAATACATTACTGAACATTAGAATGATAAATCTATTCGTACCTCAAATGCATAAACGTTAATCGGATCATGTATTTGTTTCCTCTCTTGTTCAGTGGTGTTGTAAACGAAACATCCCTGCCGTTCCTTTCTAACGACGAATAAATGATTCTAGAATAGATCCATGCAACAGGACTAATAACAAAAAATGTATGTTGCTTATAACATACAAAAAAAACCACAGTTTATTAGAGGCTATAAAAGTTGACCTTAATGGAGTGATAAAACAAACCAGTGATTTTGTTTTAAATCGGACAGTATCGTAAAAAGTAATTTTCAAAAGATTTATTAATTTATTTATTGCTGCTTGCTTAACGTCCAATGGTAGACATTTGATGTAAAGTCAGGTCGAGAACAAATAAACAATGATTGCATTTGATAGGTTCTGTAAAGTTTATGGATCAGGAAAGGGGTGGAATTTAGACATCCACTTGCATATATGAGGTATGTTGCGAGGAAGAAATTTTGCATTGCAACTGCGGACCTACGAAAACACTCAAGGATATATATCAAGGTTAATTTAACGTCCAGACATTGTAAATTCACTCTACTTGCATAAGGCATTGCATCTAACGTCCCCATTCCGGCCGAACTTGTTTGCGTATTTATACACCCCACACTAGCATACGGACGGCCCTCTATTGTATATATCTGGTACAAAAGTTAAACTAAGATTTAAAGTATTTGCTCGATTAGATATTTGTGTGTATAAGGCAATTATTGCTTCTTCTTTCAGACAAATAACTAAAAAAAACACAAAACATAAAAAAACCCAAATAAAACAAGTTGAACAAATTCACTTAAAATCATAAACTATTGTCAATAGATAACACATAGGAATAGATCATTTCAGGATGAAGCTTGGTTTAGATGATACACGATTTTACACGTCATCTAAGTAATACATAATGACAAGAACCACATTTATTTCCATGACCAAAATGATATCCCAAATGGATCTTAACATAAATATTTCAAAAAATTTCTGTGAAATAATTTTTATTGTATCTCAATAGTACAAATATCCCATATCCCTTTAAGTGAAAAGAAATATATCAAATCCTTTAAAATGAGTGCTATAATCTTACATCCCTTAAAATTGGTCTAAATACCACAGAGTGTATTTCGTATAAAAAGTAAGGGACTTTTAGATTTTTTATTAATTCTTAAAGGACTTGCATGTTCTCTCTAGATTTATTTGTCGTTGAATTGATGTCTCATTGATATATACCCATTATTTCCCTTTATCTATTTCTAATATTACCCAAATATTTCTTCGTAGAATATTTGAAAGTTATCAAATAGTAATAACGCATGTTGACGTAAGAAATACTCACTGCGGAAGGAATATATCTGAAAACTATACTCTCGTGCTGTGTGTTTTCAGTCCGGACGAACACCAGGAGCAACATGCATGTCAATAAAATCACCTATAAAATTAATACTACTTTTTTTTTATTTCCCAAACCCTCGATGCTTTCTCAATCTACATCAGTCTTAGTTTTTAAAAGCGGTTGTGTTGTCCTTTGCTTAAGTTTTCATTCTATGTTGCAATTGTGGTATTCTATCTTTCAATGTTAGCACTGTTGAAAACGGTAATGACAATGAATATCTTTTGCTCAAATAACATCATGTATCCATTTCAAAAGTGCATGTAAGGTCATGTTAGAGGCTTAGAGAAATTCCAGGTACTACTGGTTTATGAATTTAGTAATGACTTGAGTTGTGATAATTTATATAGAAAATAAGATATGCTAAGAAGATGAAACAAACCTTGAAGAGTTGATTTAACGTACGTGGTGCTTTTCGTCGTATCATGTCTGCGTGAGGTTATTAAGGACTCCACTTTATTTATCTCTACTATCTATCTCTACACATTCCAATTTGTGATTAACACATGAGTATTTAACGAGTGCTTATTCCAATGTGAAAGATGGTCTTTATTTTCGATTGTACCATCGTCGTTATTGTTTTTAAGCCTTCCCTTTACCTTAAATAACACGCTTAAGTACACCGCGATAAGTTATACTTTTATCGATTCATAATAGAAGCAATGTATCAAATCTCTTAAGATAAACTTTTTTTTCAACCATTAACAAATTACCAAAGACATATAGAAACCTGAATAAACAAATTTTACCTATAAATTTTCAAAGGTTCCTGAACAGAGATAGCATAAAACCGAACTACGACAGCACATACATTAGACTGTTACTTCCACGAATACGACGATTACAATGAAGTGCAGAGGTTACAAATACAATTTCATTGATATCCATTGTCACTTCGATAAAAATATCCTCTGTGAATAAAATTTAAAATTTGATGGATTGAAAAAAAGCTTTCTAATTTATGATTTATATCTTCAGAAATGAATTCGCACGACGTCACTTGTCTAGTCTAGGACAATTTATTGATGCTACGTGAAAAAGTACAAAAGGGTGAAACAAATTGATCTACATATTGAACTTAATATGTACTAAGCACTTTACATAAGTACATATACATTGAGGTGAAATTTATTTGAATGTATTTCCAACTCAGTAATTAGATTTCTGTGAAAATCTAACTTTTGAAAGAATACTTTCAAGATAAATAAACAAATCTAAATATTAAACTGAATTATTGCAAAAATAAACAAATCAATAAATAAGCAAACGAAAAGAATAACACATTGGGTAAATGTATTTTGAAAAAAATATATATCCTCTAAAATGAAAGCATATTTCTTAGTCCTGAAGCAGATGACTTTGGTGTACTTTTCATATGTACAACTCGTCTTAAGAACATGTGTTAAGATCAAGAGGAAGACATTTAAAGTATGTCAAAGGAAAATAAATAACAATTAAAAACCAATTGTTCAGAGAACAATTGAAGGTCTTTCCACCCGTAAAGATTTATTTTGATATTAAACTATTAAAATTTGGTTTAAAGTGTCATTTCCAGCGTCAAATGATAGCTAATTGAACGCTGATTCCAAAAATATTTGGTTTCTATACATTTTTTTCTAAATAAGGGAGATAATTTGTCACTTCCGGTTTGCTCTTTCAAGGTCATAATGGCTTGTAACCTAATGCACAAAGTCCAAAGGCTTTATGTTGTATAAATATGAATTTAAAGCAAAGGTCAAAATCTAGAACGTCAAATTGACTTATGACCTTGACCTCAATTTCGAGGTCATAAACCAAAGACATTAAATCAAAAGACCCTAGGTCTCAAATATGTATGGTTAATGAGTTATATCACTATAATCATAATTCTAATTATAAGAGGGGCGAAAACTCTTATCAAATGTCAGCGTACCGTTTCAACCAAAATAAATGACTTACGACATGTCGCAACTAACAGTTTAATAAAAATAGGTTGTCGATATCTTATATGGTTTTTGAAAAGAAGTGAACATAAGCCAAAATCAAAATTTAAAATATGACCTTGACCTTTGACCTTGACCTAATTTTATTTTTTTTTGGATCAAGGATCTCAAATCAAAATACCCTAGGTCGCTATCACTTATGGTTTACTAGTTAGAAATGCATACCACTTATATCAAGTACATAAGGGGAAATAACTCTTATATGGAGTCTCCGGATATCTTCGGTCTAATGGTCATCCTAATCCTGAAGATGTAACGAGCAATTTGGTAAAATAAATTTGTCGTAATCTTTTACGGTTGCGAAGGAGTAGTGGCCACAAGAAAAACAGTGAATAGGGAGATAACTCTTACAACGTGAAGTGTTCGGTTAAACAGTGTCAGTTTTAAAAGCGTATAATCTGTTCGATAGCATATACCAAATATCTAAGCGATATCTTGTGAAACAACAATACTACGCAAGAAAAAAATTAGGCGGAAGAAAAAAAAATAATTAAAAACCAATTGTTCAGAGAACAATTGAAGGTCTTTCCACTTCTTACGATTCATTTTGATATGAAAATATTGAAATACGGGTTAAAATGTCATTTCGAGTGTCAAATGATACCTTAATGTACGCTGATTCCAAAAATATATGGTTTCTAAAAATGTTATTGAAATAAGGGAGATAATTTGTTACTTTCGGTCTGAAAAATGTAACTTCCGGTATTATTTGATAGTTTACTTGACACTGATTCCAAAAAGATATGGTTCTATATACTTTAACATAAAAAAAGTACAAAACAAAACTACTTCCGGTTTACACAAAGCCATTTCCGGTTGGATTTTCAAGCTCATGTAAATTGCAACCTAATGACTTTATCGTGTCTAAATATGAAGTTAAAGCGAAGGTCAAAATCTAGAACGTCAATTTCAACTTTGACCTTGAGCTCAATTTCAAGGTCATAAACCAAGAACCTTTAATCAAATTACCCTAGGTCTTTATCATACTTGGTAAATGAGTTATACCACCATACATGTAATTCTAAATATAAAAAGGGAGAAAACTCTCCTTTACGGTCAACGTACCCTTGCAATCAAAATTTACGTGTTACGACATGTCGCAACTAACAATTAAGTAAAAATAATTTGTCGATATCTTATACGGTTTTTGGAAAGAAGTGAAAATAAGACAAAATAAAAATTTAGAATATGACCTTGACCTTTGACCTTGACATAATTTTCATTTTTTTGGACCAAGGATCTCAAATCAAGAGACCCTAGGTCTCTATCACTTATGGTTTACCAGTTCGAAATGCATATCTCTTATATCAAATGCATAAGGGGGAATAACTCTCAAATGGAGTCTCCGGATAGCGTCAATCCAAATAGTCATCCTAATCCTGAAGATGTAACGAGCAATTTGGTAAAATAAATTTGTTGTAAACTTTTACGGTTGCGAAGGAGTAGTGGCCACAATAAAAACAGTGTTTGGGGAGATAACTCTTACAACGTAAAGTGTTCGGTTAAGCAGTGTTAGTTTCAAAGCGTATAAACTGTACGATATCATATTCCAAATATATAAGCGACATCTTATAAAACAAGAACGCAACGAAAGAAAAAAATTAGGAGGAAGAAAAAAATAATAATAATCAGAACAAAATCAATAGGTCTTTCCACGGAAAAGTGGAAAGACCTAATAATCAGAACAAAATCTAAAGGTCTTTCCACGGAAAGGTGGAAAGAACTTATTAGATAATATTTCATCTAGAAATTAATAACTTTATCAATAGAAAAAAAAGGAATGCATGGTTTGACACTCCGGTACATTATCAAATGATGCTTGAGTTCTTCCTGTTATATTTATTTATATCAAATTGTTACTTTGTTATTATCAATATTATGTTATCCTTTTTAAACATTGACAACACTTTTAGTGCACGTTTACTTGAAGGTGAAAGTACCATACTGGCAAAATGTGCGCATACCTCTCTCTACATCAAAATGGTTTTCTTGTTTATTGTTTTAGAAATTTAAACTAATACAAATTCGGATACTAGTAATTGTAAATGCGAATATCACAGTCACATGGGATAGTAGTCGAGCCTCTTTCGAATATCATTTTAAAATTTCAATACTCGTTAATAAAAGCAAACATTTAAAGGTGGAACCCAAACATAACAGCAGTAACCAGACGATGTTTGTCGACTCTTCTACTTCGGTCTATATAAAAGAGACTTCAGTGAAAAAAAAAAAGATTCTTAACCAAAAATTGTCCCGTACCTTTAATTACTGTAACATAAGTGGCTTTTAGTTGTCATGTTGTCAATGTTAACACCAACCTATTTTTTAAGGAAATACATGTTTGGCTGTTTAAAATTTGTTTGAAATTTCATGAACTATATTGTCATTGTTGAAGACCTCATATAATGCAATTCACTTTAATTGTATCCCCCTAGTGTATTACTTGATGTTATCCCTTTGTAATGATAATACTCCAAATGAATTGAAAGTCACTAACTAAATGTAATATTTATTTATCAATTATACAAAACATTTACTTTTTTAATTTTAAATTGTTTCGTCATGACAATGATTTGCTTAAAGTAAAGAACCCCATAAGCTCGAAGGTGTCTTATTGTTGTTGTTTTTTTAACAGATTTAACGTCAATGAAATATTCAACATCTCCAATCTTCTCTGAAATCATATTCGTAGTTAGTAGCTACTAAAAAAAATCAGCTGAAGGTTTGTATTTTGCTTCCATGAATGCAATTTAAACAAACATATTTGATTATCTTGATTATCCGGCCATCGGGGTGATCTTACACTGACACACCGCGTCCTCATGGGATAACTTTTACTGAATGCGCATGCAAAGCAGTTATTTGAAGGTTTTTGTTTTGGTTCCGTAACTACAGCTCTTGAACCAGTTTGTGGCAGTGAAAATTGCTCCCATTATTACTTGAACTGTTGAATTGCAGTGAGATGCATATCCAATGATGACTGTATTGTATAGTATATTTATAGACAATAAATGTGATTTTACAGAAAATTCAAAGTCGATTCCTTGATGTGTAATAAAAGCTGCATTTCTAACTATTGTTTTGCTTATGTATTTATTCATTTTTTATTGTTGTTGACATTGTAGAACATATGAATTGGATTTTATTTTAATTATCAAAATTCACATTGTTAACTTAAAAAGTAAATGTAGCAAATTATTTATAAAAATATTTATGAAAAATTGAAGTGAAATGTATTGTTCAACTTCAGTGGTTTTATTCCTTTCGTCATGTACTCAATTTTGGCAGTCAGGTTATTTCATTATTTCAAAAGAGTTACGGCGAAATAATTGATTTGTTTTAAAACCAATATTATTTTGATTTTGTAGTCATATCTTTACGGAGAAAAAAAATATAACAAAAATACCGAACTCCAAGGCAAATTCAAAAAGGAGAAGCCCATAAAAACTGACAAATTCAAACGGCTATCAATCAACGGAACAAGGAAAAAACAACTGCCACATTCCTGACTTGGTACAGGAATTTTACGAAGCACATGCTTACATAGAAAGAAAAACTGTTTGTACATGTACATCAATTTAAACCAATCTAAAAAGGTACGCAGTGCTTCGCAGTATCATACATAATGTCAACATGAAACATGAATATTAATCGGGTCTTGAAAACCCATACTTTAATTTCATTCCCTATTTTTTTCGTATTTGATATCTTCTTTTTATAAACAATTGTGCATTGCCCATTGCTGCTCTTGAATTAAAACGGCAAAGATAGAATTAAAAGCATTTTACAGAAGACGGCATTTATAAGATTTATGTGTTCCAACAGCTGATTTGAAAAGACAAGACCTTCAACGCCATTGATATGGCCGAGATTTTCAAAGCGTATGCGTACATGTAACATACTTACCATTGTGTTTGAAAAATACTAGGTATCTTATATCATATTAATTGAGTGAAACAGTTGAAAGCAGTAACGACATATTTTATGATGCTTACTCCTGCAGCGAAAACCATTATTTTTCACGTTAGATAAACTAAGAAGACTTATATTAGTTATAGTTTACATTCTGGTATTCATTGATGTTGTCTAAATTGACATTCTGTTGACCAGCAGGCGAGGTTCAGTAAATGAAAAGTAACAAGTAAGAATATACAGTCTTTATTTTATAAACACTTATCAATTGACTTCGGAAGTTTATGTTAAAAATTACTCTGTAGAAAATGGCGTTGCTATGTATGACCTTTATATAGCCATACAGGATAGGCTCCCTTGTTACACAAGTTTATGTATACTTTGATAGCCGAATCAGTATGGTAGAGATTCTTAGAAGCCGCTCTAAAGTATGAAGTGTAGTTATGTACCATTGTTAAAACTTTTAACTGCAAAAATAAAGCAAAGACTGTTAAGTATAAGAAAAAAAAAAGAATTACCACTAGCATAATTTAATGGATAGGCATTATATATTTGTTTTCAATTTGCAACTTTTAAATCTTTTTTATATATGTACGTAATCTCTCTTATCTGTAAAGAATATGTACATATGCTATGTTCTTATTCACCATTTATATTAAATCTCATAGTTTTGATCGATATTTGTTCTTACATAAAATTGACTAAGTTTATTTTGTCTAACATATTTGACGGATGTTTAAGCAAGCTCGATAGAACATATGTCAATAATTGCGTCTAATATTCGGTAGTTCATTGTGTGAAATTACATTACTGAACATTAGAGAAGCAATTCTAGCCGTACCTCAAAAGCATAAACGTCTATCGGATCATGTATTTGTTTCCTCTCTTGTTCAGTGGTGTTGTAAAAGAAACACCCCTGCCGATCCTTTCTAACGACGAACAAATGATTCTAAAATAGATCCACACAACACGACTTATAACAAGAAATTTGTGTGGCTGATAAGATAGAAAAATTAACACAATGTATCAGAGGCTAAACAAATTTGTCTTTTTTGGAGTGACTACAAAAGTTAAAAACAATGTATCTTTTTTAAATTCGGACTGTATTATAAAAAAGTAATTTTCAAGAGATTCTTTAATCAGTTTATTGCTGCTTGCTGAACATCCAATGGTAGACATTTGACGTAAAGTCAGATCAAGAACAAATAAACAATGATTCCATTTGATAGGTACTGCAAAGTTTAAAAGGAAAGGGGTGGTATTTAAACTGCCACTTGAATATAAGAAAGAAGAAATTTTGCATTGCAACTGCCGACCTACGAAACCTTCAAAGATATAAACTAAGATTAATTTAACGTCAAGACAACTCCTTGCATAAGGCATTGAATCTTACGTCTCAATTCCGACCGAACGTGTTTGCGAATTTATAAATCGCACACAGGGAAACGGACGGCCATCTATTGCATATATCTAGTACCAAAGAAATACTAAGACTTAAAATATTTGCTCGATTAATACTTTGTTTGAATAATGCAATTACTGCGTCCTCTTTCAAACAAGTAATTAGAAAATAAAACAAACAAAAAATAAAAAGTAAGGGGAAATCAATTCAAAACCAAGGGAAGTGTAGGGTGATCTAATCAAAATTATAACATCATTGTTAATCTCTCTGGTGGAGAGTTGTGTCGTTGGCAATCATACCACATCTTCTTAATTTTATACTAGTATTAACAGATATCACCTAAGGATAGCTCATTTCAGGAGGAAGCTTGGTTTAGATGATACACGAAATTACACTTTATCTAATTAATACACAATGACAAGAACCAAATGTATTCCCATGATCGAAATGATATCCAAAATGGATCCTAAACATAAATATTTCATATGATTTCTGTGAAATAATTTTTTTTATTTTAATAGTTCATATATCCCATTCCCCTTAAGTGAAAACAAATGTTCCAAATCCCTTTAAATGAGTGTTATAATCCTACGTCCCTTAAAATTGGTCTAAACACCACAGAGTGTATTTCGTTCAAAAAGTAACGGACTTTAAGATGCCTTTTTGTTTTATAAAGGACTTGGATGTCGTCTCTAGATTTTTTTGTCGTTGAATTGCTGTTTCATTGAAATATACCCATTAGCTCCTTTAAGTAATTTTTATATTACCCAAATATTTCTTTGTAGAATTTTGATCTTTTGAAATCTTTATGTTTAAAATCAATCAAATAATAATAACGCATGTTGACGTAAGAAATACTCACTGCGTAAGGAATATATCTGAAAACTATACCCTCGGACTGTGTGTTTTCGGTTTGGACGAACACAATGAGTAACATGCATGTCATTAAAATCACCTAAAAAATTAATATTACTTTTTTTTAATTTCCAAAACCTCTATGCTTTCTTAATTTACATCAGTCTTAGATTATTAATCATATATAGTTATGTTAGAGAAATCCTTTACTACTGGTTTATGAAATTTGTAATGGCTTGAGTAACCAGTCTGCAATTGTACGATGCCAAATCACTGAATACGTTTCACCAACTAATTTAAACAGGAGTAACACGATGGGTGTCACTAGTGGAGCAGGAATTGACAACATGCATTCTCGCCCGTTTTTTTGTGAGGTTCCAGTTGCCCACACTTTATTTGTTTTTAGAAAACTGCTATGTAAAACTATTTTTGGCTGTTCGTTTTACATTTGACCAGTGTGTCTTTAAATGTCTAAGAGAGCTAACGAGTGACAATTTATATGAAAAATATGATATGCTAAAAAGTAAAAACAAACCTTGAAGAGCTGATTAAAAGTACGTGGTGCTTTTGGACGCATCATGTCCTCGTGAGGTCATTAAGGACTCTAATTTATCTTCCTCTACTATCTATCTCTACACATTCCAATAATATGATTAATACATGAGTGCTTGTTCCAATGTGAAGGAGGGTAATCATTTTCGATTGTTACTTTCATCGTTATTGTTTTGAATTTTCCCCATTATAATTAATAATGCTTTTATCGTTTTATCTAAGAAACAATGTACCAAATTTCTTGCGATAAACCTAATTTTGAACCATTAAAAAATTGTCATAGACAGAAAAGAGAACCGATTGAACCAATTTTTATCTATAAAATTGCTACTTAAAGGTTTCGGAACAGAGATAATATAAAACCGACCTACGACAGCTCATATATTACTGTTACTTCAACGAAACGACTGCTATATGTTACAAATTATATTACTTTTACTTCCACGAATCGACTGTAACAAGTTACAAATACGATTTCATTGATATTTATTGTTAGTTCGATAATAAATATCATTGGGAATAATATTTGAATTTTCATGGTTAAAAAATTAAAAAAAAAACTTTCCCATTTATGATTCATATCTTCAAAAATAAATTCGAACCACGACAAGTCACTCGTCTATTCTAGGACTATTTATTGGTGTTAAAAAGTACAAAAGGGGCAAACAAATTGCTCTACATATTGAACTTGATATGTAAGCACTTTACATACGCACATGTATACAAAGGTGAAATTTATATGAATGTCTTGCCAACTCCGTAATTAGATTTCTGTGAAATTCTAAATTTTTAAAGAATACTTTCAAGATAAATAAAAAAGAGTAATGAATAAATAGTAAACTTAATTATACTTATAATGATTATAATTATTGCTAAGATAAACAAATAAATAAATAGGCAAACGAAAAGTATGATAGCTAGATAAATGTATTTCTTTAAAATTATATATCCTGTAAATGAAAGCTTATTTCTGAGTACTGAAGCAGATGACCTTGGTGTACTTTTCATATGTGAAACTCGTCTTGCTTGAAGGTGTTTATTGTTTTCGATATTTAAACTCGTAGAAAATTCAGATTATAGTTAACCGTCATTGAAATATGAATATGACAGTAACACGGGATAGTGGTCGTAACTCTTTCTAATAACAGTTTGAAATTTCAATGCTCATAAATAAGGGTAACTTCATGCAAAGGAGGAACTCAAAACAACAGCAGTAACCAGACGGGCTGGAACAATGTGTTTCAACTCTTCTACTTCGGACTATATAAAAGAGACTTCAGTGAAAAACAACTATATAATAAATTATTCTTAACCCCATATTTCCTCCTACCTTTAGATATACTTTAACATTAGTGGATATTTGTTGTCGTGTTGCCAATGTTAGGATCAACTTATTTTTTTAAGGAAATACATGTCTGCTATTTTGAAAATTTGTTTGAAACTTCACGAACTATATTGTCATTGTTGAAGACCTTATATAATTCAATTCACTTTAATTGTATTCCCCCTAGTGTATTATTTGATGTTATCTCATTGTAATTGACCTAATCAATATCATTAGAAAGTAACTGACTAAATGTAATAGTTTTGTTATCATGCACACAAAATATTTCCTTTTTTTTAAATCGGTCCTTCATGATAATCAATAGCTTGAAGTATAGCAAATCTTGAATACCCATACTGTAATTGTATTCCTTATCTTCCGTATCTATCATCCTCTCCTATCTGGGACATGTTCCAAATTCTGTGTAACATTCTAGCCTATAGAACCTCGACCACATCATAAGATAAAATAATCAGAACCGATATTTATTAATAATTTGACATGAATATCGAATGAAACTAATACACCATGATTCGAAGAAAATACTATACAAGTATAAGCTTTTCAAAAGACTGGTCTCACTTGAGCATCCATAAAATGTGACAATTGCGTTACTAAAAGGTAAATATATGTATAATTTTAGGTATTTAATTAAGAAGGGCCTAGATTGTTTTAAGGTAAAGGCTGTCTATTGCTAATTCAGTACAGAAAATGGAATCTTGGTATAAAATATAATAGGAAAATTTTGTTTCTTACTTTTTCTTTTGGTCTTTACTTTGTTGTCAACTATTAAAGTTTATCATATTAGGATAAACTGGTTTAATAAAAGTAGAACTCCGTTTTTTTCCGGAATCAATCCTAATTGTTTCCGAATTTAGTTACATTCTAAAATACGTCATATCGTGACGTCATTCATGCGTTGTTAAACAAGTGGCGAGTGCAAAAGCTGCCAACATAGTTAGCTAAAAATCAACGTTTGAGTTAGCTGCGGAACCGTAGCTCTTAGGTCCTTATGTTATTTTTTGACTATTTGCGGACCATAGAGCTACGGATTTTTCCTATTTCAAAACGTTCGGAATTGCGACCCAGGTTCAGGTCGCACTTATTTCCCAAAAATTTATTGATTATCGTCCATGCAAAGCTTGTCAATATATATAGTTCGTTTCGTTAGACATTTTTCTAGGATATGACGTACCTATTTATGTTTGAATATTCATTTCCTTAACACTATTATCTAATTATTCCCATTTGTATACATTCTCCGCCTATTTTGTTCAGCCATATTGAATCTCGTCGTGACGTCACGAAAAACAAGAAAAGATAACTCTAATATCCTCGATCTCCTATGTTGGAGGTGAGGAACGCCTACGAAAAACAAGAAAAGATAACTCTTTTAATAAAACACGTGTTGGTTTGTTTACTTATTTCTAAGCGAGAATCGAGTGTTTTGAAGGCTTTACAACATTAATTCATACGAAATATTTAAATTACTGGGAAGAATTATTATTTTCGTTAGTAAGTAACTTTAATTACACGTTATTTCATTCAAAAAGTCATAAAAATTTAATAAAAGACAACGTAAACAAACCAACACGTGTTTTCTTCCAAGAGTTATCTTTTCTTGTTTTTTGTGACGTCACTACGAGATTCAATATGGCTGAACAAAATAGGCGGAGAATGTATACAAATGGGAATAATTAGATAATAGTGTTAAGGAAATGAATATTCAAACATAAATAGGTACGTCATATCCTAGAAAAATGTCTAACGAAACGAACTATATATATTGACAAGCTTTGCATGGACGATAAACAATAAATTTTTGGGAAATAAGTGCGACCTGAACCTGGGTCGCAATTCCGAGATTTTGAAATAGGAAAAATCCGTAGCTCTATGGTCCGCAAATAGTCAAAAAATAACATAAGGACCTAAGAGCTACGGTTCCGCAGCTACGTTTGAGTTTGCTAAAAATCAACATGAAACCACCTAAGAGACACAGAAAACCAACAGGAAAATCAAAATCACTAACTAAAAAGAAGAAAACACAAACAAAGTCGACGTCAGACCAAACTAGGAGAGAGGATCTGTCGACAGACCATGCAACAACGCCAACAGAACCGCAAAGATTGACTTGACCATTTCAGAGGCAGAGAAGCGAAGAAAATTAGAAACAGTACCCTACCATTACCAGAACAATCGGGATTTGGGCCGGAGAAGGAACCTATACCGAGACCATTCCAAAGACAGCAGCCGGCTCTAAGCAGTGTTTCCTTGTCCAGTGACCAACCGGAGATGGCTGGAATTGACCAAAACCCAGTACCAGGACTGCATACAGCCACTACCGGTATGTTTAACAATACAACAGGTTTAAGTGATTGTAACAGGGGTTATTCACAGGGTTTTAATTTAGACATTGTACACGAAAGTGTAACGCCAGTGTACACATCAAGTGTTTTTGACCCTGTGGGTGCCCATATACCGGTTAAAATTAAGGAGAAAATTTGGGCCGGAGAATATCTTGATTTAAATGTTTTACTTAAATCTTAAAGATTTAGCCACAGACTCCCATTTAAATGGTGATCTTTCAGTAAAAGGGGGACTATTAACTATTACTCCACAAAAGCAGAGCACCATTACAAATTTGCACGTGTGGACATCTGCTTTCATCATCCTTATGGATATAATGCTAGAAAAATGGCCTAATGAAGGCCAAGAGTTTTTAAAATACATGTATAACGTTCGCTTAGCTTCATCTAGAGGGTTTGGCTCAGGTTGGGCTATATATGATGAACAATATCGCCTTCGTAAGGCTAGATGTCCACAATCATCTTGGGCAGAGCTGGATATGGAGCTGTGGGTAATGTACGTCTCTACTCCTCCGAGATTTGTTCATTCAGGTACTAATCATTCTTTTGGGGGTCAAAAGGGATCACAGTATGTCCAAAATACTAAATCTGAACAGGTACAAAGATTCTCGGCGCCATGCAAAGGTTACAACTTCGGCAGATGTACTTATGGGGCAGAATGTAAATTTGAACATAAATGTTTCAGGTGCTCTGGAAACCAAACTATTGGTGCCTGCAAAAAGAGGTAAGGATTACCAGTTGTACTCTTTGGGATACTCCCCTATTTGTGTAAATGAAGTAGAAGAATCTTTAAAATTTTATCCATCAAAAGCAACAGCAAACGAACTAATAAATGGTCTTCGATTTGGTTTCAA